TCCTCCTCCTCCTCCTCCTCCTCCTCCTCCTCCTCCTCCGCTTCGACTCGCCCGCTGAACGACGACGGCGGCGTCGGCCGAGCTCCTCGAGGCACGCGCCGCGCCCCCCGCGACGCGCCAGCCAGCGGCGCCGCCGCGGGCCCTCGGGAGGGGAGCGGCTCACACGATCTCCTTGCCGTTGAGGATCCTGAGTGCCTCGCGCGGGGCGCGGGGAGGGGAGGATCGAGGAGGAGGATCGAAGATCGAGGAGGATCGAGGAGGAGGATCGAAGATCGAAGAGGAGAGGAGGACGAGGAGGAGGAGGAGGAGGAGGAGGAGGAGGAGGCGGGGAGGAGGAGGAGGAGGAGGAGCAGGAGGAGGAGGAGGAGGAGGAGGAGGGAAAGGAGGAGGAGGAGGAGGATCGAAGAGGAGGAGCGAGGAGGGGCATCGCGAGGAGGAGGATCGAAGATCGATTAGGAGATTCGCATAGGTCTGGGAGGATCGAGGCCGATCAAGGACCGAGGACAATCGAGGATCGAGGAGGGGAGTCACAGCGAAAAGAAGGGGGATGGGGTGAGGAGGAGGAGAAGAAGGAGGATCGAGGATCGAGGATCGAGGACCGAGGGTTAAGGACGTTTGTGGCTAGTTCCTGGGCCTCTGGACGAGTCCAGACGGCGCGGAGCGGAGAAAGGATGCAGGGTCAGAGAGAGAGGACGAGAAGAGGAGCAGGAGCAGGAGGCGTCAGGGCTACCACACAGGGAACGAAGTCTGCGGGAAACGGGCCCTGGACCCCACGGGCCCTCCCCCCGGGACCAACATGTCCTCCTGAAGTCGTTCCGTGACGGCCCCGTGGCCCGGGAATGGCCCTCCTCCTCCTCCTCCTTCTCCTCCTCCTCAGGACCCCTCTGCTGCATGGCGACGGGCAGGTCTCAGGGCAACGCGGCGCCCCCCCGGCCACAGCGACGCAGATCGCAAACCACACCCTGGCGTCACATCACCCTTTGTGTACAGGACTTCCAGATCGGGCCCAAGTTGCTGGGGTGGACGGATTGCGCCGCATTGCCGACGCATCGAAAATGCAACGGCAACGCCGGCGATGTATCAGCGACATCGGCGCGGAGAAAATCGGGCTCCACGTAGGGGCGCATCGCCGATGTGTCGGCGATGTGGCGCGATCCTCCGACCCAATCTGCTCGGACCCCATGTGGGAGGCATAGAAAGTGGTCGCCGACCACGGCTGCCCCGCAGGCCACAACGACGCAAATCGCAAACCGCATGGTGCCCCAAGCCTCAACGACGCAAATCGCAAATCACACCCCAGCGTAACCACACCCTTTGCAGTCACCGACCACAGCTGGTCACGCGCACAGGAGGGTAGGGGGAGAGGACGTCTTAGGAGGCTGATCCTTAGAAGGCGCGGGCCTTCCATCTACAGATAAGGCCCACGCCTTCCAAGAAGCAGGGGTGCTTGTAAGAAACCTTCTTCCCTCCCCCTACCCCCCACCCTCTGCGAGTGGCTGAACACAAAGACCTCCTAGATGGGGTCCGAGTAGATGGGGTCGGAGGACCGCGCCGCATCGCCGATGCATCGGCGATGCACGGAGGATGCATCGGCGACGTCGGCGGTGCATCGGCGACGTCGGCTTAGAAGGAATCGGGTTCCACATCCAACCGCATCTCCGATGTATCGGCGATGTGGCGCGATCCTTCGACCCCATCTACTCCGACCCCATCTACCATATAGGAGGCCTGTGTTCTCAGGACATAAGCCCAATGCGTCAAAGCAAAACAGTCTCGGCCAGAAACAATCTAAAAACATGATATCGTGCAAACCACAAAAATTTAGTATAACCTTCTTTGGCGGCGAGCCAGCACGCTTCGCCACTGCTTGGGCGGCCATCTTGGGCTGCCCTGACTGAGGGGGGAAATACAGTCGAGTTTGATTAGAAGGTCGGCCCTGCCAAATCAAAGGATACCTTAGTGTGCCCCACGTTTAGCGGCCTATGCCTTCTACATTCCGATGGCACTGTGGCTCTCGGAAGGGTCCCGTGTCTTTTCGCGTAACCTCTCCAGCGAAACTCGATTGTCAGCGCGTGCTTAAACAGCTCCCCTCTGCGAAGCGTCCTGGCTCGCCTATGTGCAAGGCGGCGCGTGGCTCAACAGCTCCCCTGCACCCCTGCCGGGGCGGGCTGGGCGGGCGGGTCTGCAGGCCCTGGGCGTTAGTCGGGCATGTCCCTCTACAGGGGGGGGATTCAGAAGTAGTCAACAACATCCGTGGGAACTATGTTTCTACTATTCTGTGACTATTCTTGAATATGTTTGGGGAAATCCGCCCGTAGGGGAACATGCCCGATCTGCAGGCCCTGGGCCCCCCCACGGGAGTGCCGCGCCGCCTGTGGCCGTCGAGGCCCGAGGGCCGCCGCCGCCAGGCCGCGCCTGGGACCCCCCCACTGGAGCCCCCCATCGCCCCTGTCGTCGCCGTACCCCCTGGAGCTCAGGCAGGAACACGAGCAATGGCATAAACATAACACCTAGTAGTTAGTGTTCGGCCCACCGTCTATGGTTAGGGGAACGAAGAATAACATAAAGACAAAAGCTCAGAGGTCCGCGCGCACCTCGGTTTCCCCATGAGTGGCTTCGCAAAGCAGAGGTAGGAGGCAACTGCTGGTAGGTCTTCGCCCGAAGGATTCAAAGGAAGAGTAAGCCCCATTGGGGGCTTGGGCCGCGGAATAAGCGGGAGCAAACCGGATTAAGCGGGATCGAGCCCGGTTAAGCGGGACTGAGCCGGATCTAGCCGGATTTCAGACCAGGACAAAGTCATTATGAAACCTCCCAGGAGATGCATTCGAAGCAAAGGGTCCATGGTTCAGAGATGAGGTCCTGAAGGATCAGTCGAAGCAAGGACGAGGACAAATTCGGGTAAGGATAGATCAAGAATCTCCGAGATCTGGCGGCTCTGGAGGATGTCTCGGACGCCGCGGCCCGCTCAGAGCGTGCCAGAACGCTCTGAGAGCGGTCCAGAACGCTCTGGAACGGATTAATTCTCGTCCAAGCCCCGCCCGACAGGGATGGGGCCCTGAGAACGGGGTGCCTCGAACAGTGTGAATCCACCCTTGGATCCCTTCCTATCCTGAAGGCCTCATCCCTCAGGACCCCATCCCTGAGCCCCCGAAAAAGAGATCGGGGAGCATTCAACAGGGGGGGGCGCTGTGGTCACCGACGTGGTCGTCGTCGTCGTCGTCGTCGCCGCCGTCGTCGCCGCCGCCGCCGCTGCCGTCATCGCCACCGCCGCCGCCGCTGCCGCCGTGGTGGTCAGACGGCGGACCTCCTGGAGCGATTCGATCTCCTCCTGGCGGCGCTGCACGCGCTCGTCGTAGTCGACGCCCTGCCGGGCGCACCCTCCCAGGGGTGGTGGCCGAGCGGAAGCGGCCAGGCAGCCCGCCTACGCGCGGGGCCCGAACGAAGGACACGTATCCGCCGCCTGGGGAGCCGAACTCTCAGGATCCCCACGGGCCTGGGGGGTCCGAGAGGATCCCGAAGCGCAGGAGTCCCGCCAGCCCTTTTTAGCTGTGAGTGGTTTACGGAGCTTCCTCTTTCCATCTCCTTCTCCTTCGGAGAGGGGAATGCAGCCTTTACATCTGGAGCATGCGCGGGCGCCCCGCGACCACTTTGCATTGGTCTTTGACAGGGACGGCGGGGGGGCCGTCATACTGGTCGCCGCGAGCACACCAAGATTCCCGATCAAAAACGACACAAATTGGATGGACGTCGCCTCCACATCTGGAGCGTGCGCGGGCGCCCCGCGACCACTTTGCATTGGTTTTGTGACAGGGACGGTGAGGGTGCCTGCCGTCACATTGTTCGGCGCGCGCATGCCTTCCATCCCTGCCAGCAAAACAAATACAAAATGCACACTTTGCATTGGCTTTTGAACGAGACGGCGGGGGTGCCGGCACATTGCTTAAACGTGGAGCACGTACCGCACTTGGCGCGCCTGGCTCGTGTGGGCCCTGGAGCCGTGTGCACCTGGAACCCGCGGCGCACATGGCATGCGACGCGCTCCAAAGCAATATGCTGCGATCCCTTCGGGTGCTATTTCTGTGTTGGGAGGGCGGGTGGGAATGAGCGAGACGGTTTGCGGGCGGAGGGGGGCCTCGACCACTCCCCTACCCCCTCCCAGTGGGTCTGGAAGGGGGGGGCGACGGGTTAAAGCGTCCAAAACAGCCTCGGCGAGGATGCCAAACCATTGCTTCTACCACGTGAGATTGTGGCCGCATGTTGGCTTCCAGAAGAGGGGCGCGCCCAGCATGCGCCCAGTCCATCTCCGGACGCCTCTGCACTGCGAGCTGTCACACGGCGTCCGCGACGGCACCGAGGCTGTCGGCCATGGAGGCCCGCCCCGTGGCGCAGGCCAGGGCCGGGGCGCCCGTCCGACGTCGACGCCGACGACGTCGACGGCGACGACGACGGCGACGACGGCGACGACGGCGACGACGGCGGCGGCGGCGGCGGACACGCGCCGACCAAAGAGCCAAACCGCGCCGGGCCAGGGCGTGGAGCAGCCCCGCCGCGGGCGGGGAGGGGCCAGCGGGCGGGGGCAGGCAAAGGTGTCACCCATGACGCCCCGCGCCGGAGAGGAGGAGGAGGAGGAGGAGGAGGAGGAGGAGGATAATGAAATAGAATAGAATAACGCAATGGGGCTCCGATTCAATCGAACTCGACTGCAGACTAAGCCCTGCGCGCTGCGTTGGCAGCTCGTGACACCAGTGATGGTGCGGACAGCCCGTCGGGAGCCACCCGCGCCGCCTCTACCAGGCGGCCCCTCGTTTGGGCGCGCAGCCCGAGAGGGGGAGGAGGAGGAGAAGGAGGAGGAGGAGGAGGAGGAAGAGGAGGAGGAGAATGAGGAGGTTTGTTGCTGCTAGAACCAGACGGGCGGGCACACTGAGAAGGTGCCTCCACTCGCCCGTCCACTTTTCAGTCCAGAGCTTTCTCCCAGTAGGCGTCCTGCTCACACTGGAGGAGGAGGAGGAGGAGGAGGAGGAGGAGGAGGAGGAGGAGGAGGAGGAAGAGGAGGATAAGGAGGAGGAGGAGGAGGAGGAGAAGGAGGAGGAGGACGAGGAGGAGGAGGGGGCAGGAGGAGGAGGAGGAGGAGGAGGACGAGGAGGAGGAGGAGGATTAGGAGGAGGAGGAGGAGGAGGAGGAGGGCACAGGGGCCAAGCGGCCTGGCCAAACGCAACGTGTCCGACACTTGAAATACATTATTTCAGACATGATCGCGTCGAAGAAAAGATCAGGGCGGCAAGTTTGTCTCTATGTTTGGCCCCTGGGGGGCCCTCGCCGGTGCCCGGGAGCGTCAAAAAACGACTCGGGATGAACACCCGGACCAAGGAAAGGGTCGGGACTTCCGGGGACGCCGTACTGAAAAAATCAGAACGTCGCATGTCTGGGAATTGAGATTAATGGGGAGGCGAAGGAGGAGGTATTTTGCAGCAGCATGGATGTCCTCTGAAGTGTCCTCGCACCGTCGGCAGTGGCACGGCCCAAGGACGACGGTTTTGAACGTTTGGCTGACGGCGACGGCGGAGGCGACTGCACTGACGGCGACAGGGCGAGGACGAGGGCGAGGGCGGCGGCGGTGACGAAGCCTCTGGGAACCTTGTAAGACCTTCCCTTGCTAGGTTCCAAGAAGACTCGTTAAAAACAAGTTGACGGTTGTTGTTTTCGGTGTTTGCGTGATAGGCGCTACTTCAATGCTGGCATGAGGTTTTCGGCCCAGATGCATGGGCGTCCGAAATCTGGAAGTGCCCTCACAGCATTGAAGAGCGCCGTCCCTGACAAGTGTCCGAACTACCGGGCGCTTCGATGTTGAACCTTGTTTCAGTCTACGTTTGACGAGGCCTGCCGGTAGCCCTGTAAGTGACGCCCCGCCACGTGCACGACTATGCCGCCCCCCTCCCCCGAATTTGCGAGGCCGCCCTCGTGCAGCTAATGCCCGCGCAAGGCGATGACCCTCAAAACGCTTGTAAGCGCCAACGTTTATGTTGTTCCCATCCTCCTTGAGGATCACATCCCAGAAACATATTCGAGCACCCTGAAAAAGTATCGAAACGGTGTCGAACGAGTATCGCCTCCTAAGGCCCGACACGTGAAACCCCTCCAATTCGGAAGCTTTCTTGGTGCTCGAAATTCTGTCTGGCGATCAGGGCTACAGCAGGTTGGAACCTCATAAGCCAACGTGTGCTTGTCAATAGAAACCATCCGAAGCGGTGCAGGCGGTGTAGTGAGGGCGGCACAGGCTGCGCACGATCCTTGGGACACGCATTAAGGCTAACGTACGTCCCGAGGATCATCCAGCAATGCGATCCCTCGGGACCAATCTGAACCTGTGTGAGCATGCGTATTTTGAATTGCTCACTGATCCGCCAAGCTGCCCCCACCCGCCAACGCCTCCGAGACGCAGGAGGGCTTGAGCTTGTCGAAGTACGCCAGCGCGGCGTCCAGCTCCTTCGGGGGGCCAGGCATAGAGAGCAGAACGATTACAATGAGCACCCCTACAGGCGAAGCCCGTGGCTAGAAGGAGGAGGACTGTGCACGTGCATGCACCGACCCTGACCAGGCTCATTGTGGGCCCAGGATCGGTGCAGACGCCCTCCTGGATTGCCAGACGAGGCACGGACAGTGTGCAGTGATCCCGGGCCCAAGATCGGTGCATGTGCGTAGTTTCCCTCGCGCAGCCTTATGGACCCTCACAAGAAGGGAGCCGAGCAGAGAACGACTGGTTAGCAAACGCCCTTGGCCGCTTAGGAAGCGCCAGTTGTGGGGGCGGTGAGGCTTCCCTTTCCCTGAACGAAGGAAGAGGATCGAGAGAATCATGAGGAGGGAGAGGATGAGAGGGAACTAAAGACGAATCACGAGGAGGAGTACGAACGACAAGGAGGATCGAAAAACGAAAATCGAGACCCTTGGACGTGTTGACCCCCTCTGTCAGGGTCGAGGATCGAGGAGCGTTAACAATCGAGGATCGAGGAGGATCGAGGATGAGCCGGTTTGAGGATCGAGGGGGATCATGACGAGAATCTAGAGGATGACCTAGGACCAAGGAGGTGGATCGAGGATAGAGGAACCAGGTGTTGGACAATTGTTGCATTTCTGGGCCTCTGAGAGGAAACCCGTGGGGACCTCAGGAGGAGAAGGAACAAGGAGGAGGACGAGAGGTAGGCAAGAGTGAGGAATCGCGAGGAGGAAGACAATGAGAGTCAAGCGGAGGAAACAATCGTTCTCCTCTTGACTCCCATAACCAACCCTCCTCTCCTATTCTTTCAAAGAAGAAGGGCTAGTGAATGAGCGAGGTGGAGAAGGAGGAAAGATAATCACAACGAGGAGAGGAAGGAGGTGGAAGGAGCTCTCTCGCTCATCGCGCTCGAGGCTACTGATCCACCGGTGCACAACAAAGAGGCACTATATTAGGTGTCACTATGCCAGTCGCTGGCGCGCGATGCGCCCATCCACTTGCATCCAACTATGCACACGAGGGGGTGGTTCAGCCAGCATGGGCTCACGGGCGGAGGTAAAAGCGACAAAAACATGAGACCGGACACCCCGAAACCGCACGAACAACAACGAGATGAGCGAGAAAGGAGGACAGAGAAACATCACGAGGAGAAGGAGCAGGAGGAAGGGGCAGTGCCTCCGTCTCGCCCTCCCCGCTCATCCTCTGCGCTCCTCCCCCAGGCGAAAACAGCCGCAAACCGTAGAATAACGACGACGACAACGATGACGCTGACGCTGACGCTGACGTTGACGCTGACGGCGGCGGCGACGTCGAAGACGACGAAGGCGACCGTCTTGACCCGTTTTCCGAATCGCCCCACGCTATACAAAGAGGGGGTCCCGACGGCTAACAAAAACGAAGAGTACGACACCGACCAAGACGTCGAACTGCATCCAGCAGAGGCGAGGAAAGCCTCCGAAAGCGCCTAACAGCCTCCCTCGTTTGGAGCAGGCACTGGCGGCAGCAAGGACCCGCAGCTGAAGAAGAGTCCAGCAGGAGGCGAAGTTGAAAGCTAATGCAAGTATAGCATCTGGCTCGGTCTCTGGCTGGGTGGAGCGCGCGGAAGAGATGCAGGCCCACATCTTGGAGAGGCTCCAGAAGACGCGGCGCCAAGTCCCGTCAGGTGTTCCTGGCGCGGAGGTGGCGGAGGCTGTCCCAGCGGGCAGCGCAGCAGGAGCAGCTGGTTCGAATGGCAATGGCAGTTCCCCCGCCGCCATCGCCGCCACCGAGAGGGAGGAGAAGGCCAGGATCGAGGCCGAGAGCATCTCTCAGGCGAAGTCCGTGGCGCTGCGCCGGAGGAGCAAAAGAAACAGGAGGCGGCGGCCACCCAGATCGGTGATGATGATGATCAACTATATCTAGGTGTGGCTTCGTCTCCATCACCTGTAAACCCCAGTCCAAACATGTTCAGTATATTTAGAAGTGTTCCGGAGTTCCGAAAAGAGGCGGCAAATCGTTCTCAATCACGGACGCGGCCAAGGGTGAATGTCTTCACGCATAGCATGCATGACAACATCACAACAATGGGGGAGAAGGTGTCGCAATTAGTTACTCAGGCTCGTGAGCACCACTCGTTTGATTTTGGATCTTGCCGAGACACATGTCCCACGCGCTGCCTTTGATAGGCAATCGCGGTCCGAAGCCAGAAACGCGACGCTGACGGTTTTTGACAATCCAGCAAAATCTACAGGCAGAGCTCGCACGGCCCAGGGCGCCGAACGAGCGACCGAGCGGGGAGAGAGGATTCTTGCAGCGGGCCAACTGCAAGCCTACTTGTTACAGCCTCGATTGTCTCTTGCTGATTGTCAACCCAGCGGCCAGGCGCGGCGAACGGGTTGACTGCTGCGCTCGTCCACATGTCTGGGTACCCATACATCTTAATCATGTTGCACGGGCTCACGCCCGTGGGCCTCGCAGGTGATAACGCGCAAAGGTTTAGTCGACTCGGTGCCCTTTTTAGCCTCGCTTCAATTGCCATGTGCTGTACTGGGCGGCTTGAACGTACCTGCTGAAGTGCTCACATCGACAGGCTTCCCGTCTAGAGTCGATGGCGAGGTTGTCAAAGCACCCATCGAATACACGTGCGACGCTGGCAAGGACGGTATCCACATAAATTACATAGTCAGCAGCCGCTTGGCCGTAGCCAACCGGGCTCGTGTCGAAGCTATGCTGGTGGTGCCTTGGTAGCTGCACTGCGGCCTCCGTACCACCATGCACGCATCCGGCAGGCATCTCGTCACAAGGTGTATACGTCTCCCTGCCAGGCCGCCACAAGTTGGGCGGCCTGAGCAGGGGCCCACAGCTGGATCGAAGACACAGATCCAGACACAGCTGAATTTAGTCAAGCACGAGCTGGCTGCCACCCAGCACCAGGAACACTATGACGAGCTGTTTGGGGACAGATGGCCTGGTTCCAATGATACTTCTGTTGAAGCAAGCACGCACGAGCGTCGAAGCAGAGCCCGATCGCGAGCCCAAGCCTAAATTTACACTAGATAAGTTTGACGAGTTCGAGGAAAATTCATGGGACGCCGTGCCCAACTCCACCGTGGGGAATGTCATCGTTGCCAATGCTGCTCCAGCTAATCGCCTGGGAACCGCCGATGCAGCGCAGACTCCTGTCACGCCGTCGTGGCCCAGAGTACGCCTGCAGGAGCCGGCTCCACTTCGGCTCAGTGAGCTGCTAAGGACCCAACCTCTCATGGCCGCGCCGTCGTGGATATTGGAACGCGGCCTCGCAGGCCCTGTCGGGTGGAGCCCAATTCGATGCAAGATGTCACGCAGCCCACTAGCGCTTCCAAATGGAATGTTGCAACGTCCTCAATTTCGCATGCCGGGCGCCTCGCACGACGCAGGTCGCCTCACTTCGGCTCGGGGAGCTGCTGAGACTTCGATCTACCGTGGCCACACCGTCGCGAACACGGGGATGCGAGCAAGGGCAGGAGCCCCCGTCGATCCAGGAGGCGCCGCACTCGGGCAACACACTCGAGCCTCACATGCCGGGCACCTCGCACGACGCAGGTGGCCTCACTTCGGCTCTGGGAGCTGCTTAGGCTTCGACCTACTGTGGCCGCGCCGTCGCGGATGTGGGAATGCGAGCCGAGGCAGGCCCCATATCGGGTGACCCATCGGGTGGTTCCCCAGTCGATGCAAGAGGCGCCGCAGTCAGCCAGTACGTCCGAGTGGAATACATCCGCGCCTCCCACTTTCGATCGACCTTGAGCTTGGAATCCCGATGCGCCGAATTTTGCACTGCCACAATACACGCCGTCCATAACCTGGGGCCTTGTCACTCCTGATGCCGTTGAATCGTTCGCCAGCAAATCGCCCCCAAGCACCCAACAAAATTCAAGAGCCATCCCCCCCACGCACAAATGAGGGCGATGCCGGCATTTCGTTTCATATCCGCGATGAGACATTGATACGTGCCCGTTCTGATGTGGGTCTCCTCCTCGGCTGCGATCGCTCCCCAACTCTGCCGCTGCGTCACCCGTAGACGCTGAGCTTGGGTGTCTCAACCGTAGCCGCCTCGCAGCCAGATGCGTCGTGCGGTACAGCGCTGGAGCGGACGGCGCATGAGCATCATGGAGAAACAGGGCCCCTATCTTTCGGAAGCGCTCGAGGGCATCGATGTGCCATTCAGGACGTTCGAATACGAGCTAAGCGCAGGACAGTCCCATACTGTGACAGTGACGCTTACATAGCGGCGCGAGCAAACGCATACGGTTTCATAAAGGTTGCAAAATCACCACGTTCGTGCTAAATGGAGTCACTCAGAAGCAGCAGCTCGAGCAAGCACGTAAATAATCAAGGGAAGAATCACCCGGCCAAAGGAACCGTGGGCTTAGAGTGGAGTCTAATCCGTCTTGAAAAGTGTGGAGAAGTATCTTACTCTCCAGCGCCAACCAGGTCGACCAACCCAAATTACGTCTGTGTATTACGCATGCAAAGCGCATCGCTGCACGATGTCGGTGTCGTGCACGACGTACTTCACGTACTGCATTCAAAGACTAAAGTGTAGCTCCCGGCACAAACGGTGCGCCATGCAAATCTGCGAAGCAAGACCCGGGAGCAACCGTGCTGCTTCATCCTCGGGGCATCGTCGAACTTAGGGCCAAACCTTTTCGGGATGCCTGGACGCCCCCCGAGGGAGCACCGGGGGGAGCGGATGCAGGACTCTCTGGAGGCGGCGCGCGCGGCACCACGCGCTGACCAGCTCGGACCAGTGCCCGTGCAGGAGGTCAGGCGAGCGGCTCACGCCAGGAAGGCGAGGGCTGGGCAGGGAGTGGGCACCGTAAGCCCTGCGGATATTGAGGGGGTGCCTGCTAATTGCACTCTTCGAACTTTCACACGGGGCTCGACCGAAACGGTGTTCGTTTTCGTTTTGTTCTCGTTTTCCCTCGTTTTGTCTTCAATCCGCCTTTACCGAAAAACGAAGTCGAACCGAAAACGGCCCACGGAAACGCCAAAACACCGTTTAGGTCCAGCCCTGGTGCCTGATATTGCACTCTCCGACCTTTCACAGCTGTGCGCAGATGCCGACGAGGTGCTCAAATGGCCAACACGGCTGAGGTCAACAATAAGGAAGGTGGTTGCCTAAGAAAGTTCTGGGTGATCGGGAAATCGGTCTTTTGCCGATGACTGCCAGAATCTGGAGCTTTGCTAGGGAGCTGTCGATCAAGGCTAGAATGGGATGCCACAATCCCTGGGAACGGAGCCTTGAAAAAAGCTGCCATGCGGGCGTGTGAATAAGAGGTTTCGGGTGCCTTAGATTTACCTTCAGGCCATGGGCGATTGCGATTGGATATCCAGGGATTTGTCGATTCGATGGACGTGTCTTCTGTTACCGCTGCATTGCGTCTGGGATACCCGCGCGGTCCATTGTCCAGGGCCTCAGAAGAGACACCAGGTTTGCAAGATGTCTCACGTACTATCTAGTATGACTCATAACGTTTGTGCATCCCCGCATTGGGACTAGGACATGGATCGACGGCATATCCCAGCGAGCCCAAGGGTCTAGGAGAGCACTTCGGCAGCCGTTGGTCACTGGGCTCTTGAACACATGCAGCGCCCTGACGCACGAGGGTGTCACTGCATCTCTAAAGAGCGTAGTGCGATGATCGCACTTTGAAAGAGCGCAAACTGTATCAGCCCGCCTGAGACTAGAAGGGTTCGAGGTCAAGCCGTACAATCGCGCAGGATATCTGGGGGAAGATGAGTCCAGAGAGCCGCCACCATGCACAGTAAACTAGTTCGGTTCGCACGTGCTTCCAAAAGAGATCGTGTCACCAGCCAGCTCACGCATGCTGGCACCATGGCTGCGGAAATGTATGGCCACCAATTGCGCAGAATTTTCGGGAGTGTCAAGACGCGGTGTCGTCGTTAGACGGAACATGAATGTGGATCGGGCATAAAGGGAAAATGGTTAACGATGTTACTTGACATGCGGTGTCCTGGAGGGAGACGTGCATATGATTTACCTACAGTGTGTCTCACGCTGTGGCTGCAGCAGTATTTAACGTTGGCTGCATTTCGCCCTGGTATGGCTTAAGCATGGCCAAAGATACTACGTCGTCCACGGGAGTCCCCTGTGAGACAAAGATCGGATCTTGTTCGGAGTCCAACGGGAGCCGTCATCTTGCACCTTCTGGATGCGGGGAGGGTTCCTACATAGCCCTGGTTTTGGAAGGCACCCGAGGATCACGAGGGGGGTCTGGAGGCCTGGAAGTTTCATCCCTCCGGAGCTTTCAGGCAGTATTGGTGATGACATTTCCGAGCCGCTGTTGCAGGATCTTGTCAGCTCTATCCAGGCAAAGCAGTGGCGCAACGCGTCGCGACGTTTTTGCTTTCGGAGGAGGTGCGCAGTCTCGCTCGACAGCTGCAGTCGGTGCGCCACGGTACCAAGCTGAGCGAGCTGATGGTGTGTATCGCTACCGGTGGGTCTTGGCCTCGACCAAGGGAGCAAGATGAAATCTCTGGGGTGCCACGAGGTTTTGTGCGCGTTGCCTTTATGAAGCCTGGAATCCCGACCCCATCGGAACCGGGAGCGCTCAGAACAGAACACAGAGCGAAGGCATACACAGATTCCGAGCATTCAATATGTGCTGAGTTTGCCCAGCATGGAGCTGAACCCTGTTCGTTTGGCTGTAAGGGTTGCTGCCGGCCCCTCGGACCAGAATCCCGCCACCGCCCACAGCTGAAGCTTGGACGTCGATTGGCACGAACGGGCCAGAGGCAACTGAGTGCTCAGGCAGAGGGACGGATACTGAACCTCTCGCGGTTGGGGGGAATCGTCTAGAGGCGTGGAGACGGGTGATACCAAATTTATGCGAAGAGAACTGGCCATCACTGTTCTCACATATTACGGTCCCGTGTGTGATTCGTGTCGCTGTCAAGGGTCCTCTGACAGGCAATGCACAGAGCGTACCCAGAGACGAAATGCGGGCATTGTTTTGTGTATGTCACTGGCTGTGAGGCCGTCACCAAGGGTCTCCACGACAGGATGTTCGATCGGCCCACTGGGGCTAACAGGGATCCCTGGAACCAAATCGCTGGGCATGTTATAGCGCGTCGGGGAATGAGTTCTATCTTGTTTGTGAACTCACACCTCACGGCTGAACAAATCATTGACACCAGAATCCCGTCTTGGCTTGCCGTCGGAAACCAGTGTGTTGATGAGTTGGCCGCCCAAGCGGCACAGGAAGCTAGGATCCCGCCAGAGGTTCACGCCAGAATCAAGAACATCGAGAGGACGGCCTGGCTCGTCGGGCACCGACTCCTGCCATCTCTCGGACGTCCTTTCCCGTACCGTTCTCTTCTTCGTGCCTCTATTTTCGCAAGATGATCCAGGATGCTCCTCGATGGTCCTCGCCGAGACAAAAAAAAAAAAAAAAAAAAAAAATCTGAGTGATGACAAGGACGGTTGAGGGCGACCCTCGACACGCTGCAGGCCGAGGAGGGCTGTGCAGCGCCCGCGAGGGGGAAGGGACCTCCTGCTCGGTCGTTCGCGGTCTCTGTTCTAAGCATTGCGTGGATGAGTCCAAGCCGAGGTGTTCGGAGGCAGCTCCTGGGAGGTTTTCGTTAGAACGATTAAGGGCAGTGAAGCCCGCCTAAACTGCCATCTCACTGTATCAGGCCAGCTTAAGCCCAGGACCAAGCCGGGTTAAGACAGAGCAAGCGGGATGAAGCCGAAGTATGCCGGATTCGCCCGAATTGAGCCGCTGATCGACCGCGAAAAGACCGGCGCCGATACAGAATTTAACCTCCAAGGAGTTACATCCTAGAAGATGCACGCGTTGTTTCGGTTCTGCGACCAAACCCAACGGCATCCAAGTGGCTTGCCTCTAACCGTTTCCAGCCTGCTTGTGTTTAATGATCCGTTCGGGGCCCTTCCTGTGGGGGGGTCGGCTACACATTGCTGGGGGCTGGGCGGGGGGGCTCACAGGATGCGTGTGTCTTATGCCCAGAAAGTGTGGTGTTGCACGGGATGTGGGTTTTTTGCGCACTCTCAGATGAGAGGGCTGGCCAAAGCGTATACGAATCCGATTGCTCCTCATAGGAAGGAGTATTTATCCAGGCTAATTGAGGGTGAAGGTCCAAAGCTTCCTGAAAAGGCTGACCAGCAGCGCCGCTCGTAATTCGCTTCGACCACCACGTGGGATAGCTTGCAACTCGCAACTCCCTCTCCCCCCTCACGACTCCCTTCACTAGTCGGATCTAGACAAGACAAATATCCTTCAAGAACATGAGACCCTCGCCCGGCAAAAACACCTCAAACCATACGATCACTCGAGGGTAACCTCCCCCAGGATGCACGAGAACGTCCCACGAACACGACGAACGTTATAGTTATAGGGTACCCTCCCCGAGCCGACCTAGATCTTATACCTCAGTCCGATCGTACCTCCCTGCGGCGGCGGCGGTGCGCCGCTCCGGAGGCTTGGGCGGGCAAGAGGCAGAAGAGCCCAGAATCCACTTGACAAGTCGGATCGAAAATCGACATGAATCGGATCGACAGAAATCGGCAGCCGAGTCGGGAAAAGTCGAATCGGCAGACATTCGAAGGCTAGTAGGCCTCCATCGAGAAATCGGAAGGAATCCGAAATCGAATCGGAATCGGAAGCCATCGAAGTCTAATCGAATCGAGTCGGGGGAATCGAAACGAGCCCTGAAGAGGAGTGCGGCGGCGGGGGACGCTCTCCTTCTGGGTGCCCTCCAGGTCGGACTGCGTGCTGGCGAGGGCCTGTGCCCCGACAAGAGCGGCCAGCTGGCTAAAGGTCTGGTGGGACCGTCGGCCCGTCGGCTCGTCCGTCGGTCTCCGACGGCACGTCGGTCCCTTCGGTTCGTCGATCGGGCATGTCTGGTTCCTCCACGGAAGCGGGGCATGGCATGAACACAACAACTCGGAGGTCCGCGCTGACTTCTCGGATCCGCGCTGGACCCCCCCTGGCGGCACCTGTGGCGCCGCCCCTGGCGCGCTCCGCGCGCCAGGGAGGGGAGGTCCAGCGCCGATCCGAGAAATCCGCGCGGACCTCCGAGTTCTTATGTTTACGTCATTCTTCGTTCCCCTCTCCTCCTGCCCCCCGGCCGTCATCCAGTCTCGGACCTCGGCACCGTCGCCCCCACCCCGATCTTGCCCGCGCATCGCTTTCCCGATCCGCCTCGGGCCTCGATCCCCGATGCCCCTCGACATCCACCTTCGATCCCCCTCCGTCGGACCTCGGTCCTCGAGCCTCGCCCTCGATCCTCGAGCCCCGACCCTCGGTCCTCCTCGGCCCTCGATCCGAGGCCGCCCGAGTGGGGCCGGGGCAAATGCGGTCGGAGGATCCAATCGCATCGCCGATGCATCGGCGATGCGTCGGCGATGTCAGGATCAGGGCCGCAAGCGGGGATGTTGATAAACAAAAACATTGGCGCATCCGACCCAAAGCAGGGATCTCTGATAAACAAGATTGGCGCACCCGAGTAAACTGCATCCTCTGGTCGAAACAGTAGTTTTCCTTTTACTCGTTTGTGACAGCTGGTACTGCCAATCATGATGAGTAAAACCCCGCTTTCCGGGAACCTGACATAACGTGGGCGCTCGGGCTCCAGATCGCGCAAGGTTGCCGATGCGGCAACCCTATCTGACCCTATCTACCCACCGTCCAGAAGAAGTGGATAGGATCGTGATGTACAGTCGGGCCGACGACACAAGGAACGAAGCCACGTTCTGGCCCAATGAGCGACTGCGTGCACGAGGATCGCCAGAGAAGCAGCAATGGAAGGACCTACGGAACATCGAGCCCCTTCCGAGCCCGAAGAGCGGTCTTTGCCTCAGCGTCTTGGCTGTAGGCTGTGTTTCCGCTTGCGCCCTGAAAGGGAAGGAGACAACCACTCGACCCTTCGAGAAGGAAGGACTTTGGCCCCATGCCCCGACACATCCCGACCCACCCCACCCTGCGGGTACTCTTTGGCCCATGGTCCACTTTTGGTGGTCCCCTTACGCGATGGCGGGCCTGTGGGCCAAAGCCGAGGAAAATCTCACACATACTGAACAACACTTTGTCGGAGAGTTAGGTTTGGGCGGCCGCCATCGATGCTCCACAACCCCCACCGCGCCACATCTCTCTTTCTCTGTCTGTCTATGTATCTCTATCTATCTCCCTCATTTTCTCTCTCTCTCTCTCGTTTTTCCTGTGTTACCTCTTGCTCTCTCTCTCTCTCTATCTCTCTCTCTCTCTCTCTCTCCCCCCCCTCTCTTTCCCTCTCTCTCTCTCTCGCTCTATGGTGTATATATATATATATATATATATATATATATATATGCATGCATATATATATATATATATATTATATATATATATATTATATATATAATATATAGCTGTGTGTGCATTCGTATGTTTATCCCCGTATATGTATGACGTGTATAATTTAGTTATTTATATATATAAAGCATATCTATATATGTATGTTAATCCACCGACTCTTTTCGGCGTGTGTGAAGGGCTTGTCCGTACGAGTCGTCGTCTCCGTCATTCGCTAGTCGTCGTCTCTGTTGTCCCCTTTCCCTGCGGCCCCCATTTTCCTGGGCCCATCGCCGAACTCCCTCTTTTCCTGGGCATTCCTCCTCAAGCGGGCCAGTCAAAGCGAAATTGAGCAACGTCGTAATTCAGTTGAAGGGAAGCCCCTTCCTTTGGATCCCTCCCCCGTCGGGGGGGGTCCCGGGGGGGAGGGGGGGGCGCCGCCCAGGGACAACTCCTACCTGGGAAAGGGGGGTCCCAGGTCCCACAAAAGCCCCAGGACGGGCCTGGAGTTAAGGTGCTGCGCAACTGCTTATGTTGCCTGGCCATGATCCATTAAATTGTTGCGACTTGTGTCGATCCAGGAGTTGTACACTTGTCTAGACATGTTGAGTTTGACGTTGCGACGTGTGTAGACACATAGATTTCGGAGTTGTACACTTGTCTAGGCATGTTGAGTTTGACGTTGTGATATGTGTAGTAAAAACGTATGAATGCTTTGTGTGGTTTCGACGCTGTGTAGTAGAAATTGTTGTGTGATATTTGATATCAAAATCAATACTGCTGAACTTGTAGTAGAATGTTGTGTATTAGATATGAGGTTCGGTGTTGTCGTCATCATGTGTTTTGGTTTGGTGGGGTAGCCGTGTGGGTAGGGGATGATATTGTATTATTTAATGTTAGTTTGTGATGGAATAGTGTTAGTTCGTGTTGGAATAGTAGGAATGACGAGGGGCGGAGATGAGATGATATACCAAAGGGAGCAGGACAAGAGAATAGGGGGCGACAAAAGAGGGGAGGGGGGTGAGGACGCCCTTCGGCAGGGCCCCCCTATGGGGCAACGAAACGTGTAATGGGCGTGCCGACCTGGGTGTTGGGGACGCACGCGGGCCGCGGCACTGGGGCCTTCGGTGGAGCTCCCGATGGGGCCACGAAACGCGTGAGCGGTGTGCCGAATTTGACGTGGGGGACGCATGCGGGCGGCGGCGCTGGGGCGTTCGGTGGGGCTCCCTATGGGGCCGCGAAACGTGTGAGGGGTGTGCCAAATTGGGTGTGGGGGGCGCATGCGGGCGGCGGCACAGCTCCCCATGGGCTCCCGCTCCCCATGGGTACCCGCCCCCCCGTGGGTTCCCGCCCCCCATGGGCCCCCGCCCCCCGTGGGCCCCCGCCCCCCATTCGCTCCCGCTGCCCATGGGCTCCCGCCCCCCATGTGTTCCCGACTCCCCCGCCCCCCATGGGTTCCCGCCCCCCATTGGCTCCCGCCCCCCATGGGCTCCCGCCCCCCTATGGGTTCCCGCCCCCCATGTGTTTTCGCCCCCCTATGGGTTCCCGCCCCCCATTAGTTCCTGCCCCCATGTGTTCCCGCCCCCCTATGGGTTCCCGCCCCCCATTTGCCCCCGCCCCCCATGGGTTTCCGCCCTCCATGGGTCCCCGCGCTCCCGCCCCCCATGGGTTCCTGCCCCCCGTGGGTTCCCGCTCCCCATGGGTTCCTGCCCCCCAGTGGTTCCCGCCCCCCAAGGGTTCCCGCCCCCCCTGGGCTCCCGCCCCCCATTGGCCCCCGCGCCCCATGGGTTCCTGCCCCCCATGGGCCCGCGCGGCCCTAGAGGGCGCCCATTGAGATGGGGGCGCCCCATTGGGGCATCCGCTGGTAGCATCCCATGCGGGAGTTCCATGGGGGCGCCCAAGGGGGAAGGGGGGGGAGGATGGCGACCTGTCGGGGCGGCCCATGGGGGGGCGCATTGCGGGGGCGTCCTATGGGGGCGCCCGCAGGCCATATGGGGTTGGTTGGGGGGGGCGGCTCGGGTTTTGGAGTGCATTGCCAGCGTCGTAACGCGTGGGCTTTCTGTTGGGGTTTAGGGGCCTGGAGAGTAGGGCCCAGGACCAGGAGTCTCGGGTTGGGCCCCCTGGAATCTGGGGCACGCCAAATTCGCGACGCGGGAGTGGGGCGGAGTCTTACAAACATCCCGATACGGGAGCGATGAGAGGCGGGGCTAAGGCTTAAGGCTTTATAGAAATCCCGACGCGGGAGGAGATAAGGGAGAGGAGATTTTGAAAAATTGCGACGAAGGGGGGGGGTAGGGGGGGACTTTGCAAAACTCGCGACGCGGAGGGGCGGGGGGGGAGACTTTGCAAAACTCGCGACGCTGGGGGGAGGGGGGGACTTTGCAAAAATCGCGACGCCGGGGGAGGGGGGGGGGGACTTTGCAAAAATCGCGACGCGGAGGGGGGAGGGAGACTTTGCAAAAATTCGGATGCAACCCGCTTGAATCATCAGATCTCAAATGTGGAGTTGGAATACGTATCAATTAGTTCGCTGGGTATCAATTTTGGAGTTGGGAAGTGTATCAATTATTTCCCCGGGTATCAATTTTGGAGTTGGTAAACGTATCAATACATCCGCCGGGCGGACTTGGGTATCAATTTTGGAGTTGGCGATCGTATCAATTTCGACGTTGGTGAGTTGGCGATCGTATCAATTTCGACGTTGGTGAGTTGGCGATCGTATCAATTTCGACGTTGGTGAGTTGGCGGTCGTATCAATTTACACGTCGCCGCATCAATTTTGGAATTGGGAAACGCATCAATGCTTTCGCGCGGTATCAATTGTGGGGTTGGGAAACGCATCGACAAATCCGCCGGCCAGCGCTGGCGGTCTTTGCCCATTACGCGCGACGATAATTGGGCGCGCCCATGAACGAGTGCCCATCGCCCACGGTCGGGCCATCGCGCTGCCTGGGGGCACGGCGAAGGCCCGAACACGACGCGCGAGGCGTTGCGCCGCTGGCGCTGCATGATATCCATAGGCCCGAAAGTTCTCACATCCTACGCTGCACCCCCCCGCGCACCTAATTACGCGCCCGAAACCCCGCGCGCGGCGCGCCCCGGACCCCGGCCCCCGAGCCAAACTCCCATTGGACCCCCACACGCACCACCACCCTCCCCCCGCACACCATACAGCGCCCAATCGAGATTCGAGAAATTAGCCTTCGCCGCGCTATCGCACACGCACGACCCCGCGCCCAACACCCCGCCCCCGAGACCATCCGCCCCCAACTGAATGTCTTGAGTCTTGAGTCACCAAATCCTCTTAGATTCGAAGCCCTGGACTAGACTGCGCGCCACTGGCCCCAACGCCCCGCGCCCCAAGCCAGTACCAACCGCGCGCCCCAGACTCTCCGGGTCCGTCGCCAAGGCCTAGCCGCCGCGCCCCTGCGCCCGACGCCCCAGACCCCAGACC